GACCTTTTCATCATGTAGAGCTTCTAAATAGTGATCTGACAGGAAAATATTCAACAGCTTCAGTTTTTCCTTGATGTGATCTACAGTTGGCCCTTCATATTTGCAATTTTGACTTTTGCAGATTATTCACAGATTTGCAAAAATCATATTTATATAGAAATTAATCCTGAATGCATTTAAATGGCTTTTAATTAATATAGCATTGACTAGGATATTGACTACTGATCCTATTAAGCTAAAATAAACTGAATTTATTATATTATCTGTCTCACTGGCTACAGCAGGCATAGGCAAACTTCGTCCCTCCAGGTGTTTCAGACTTCTGCTCCCACAATTCCTAACAGCCTACCAGCTGTTAGGAATTGTGAGAGTTGAAGTCCAAAACACATGGAGGGACAAAGTTTGCCCATGCCTGGGCTATAGTATATTTACTTCTCTTGCCTAATGGCTATAATGCATTTTGCCACACTTTACCTATCCCTTTCTTCCACACTCCTGCTTTGCGCACAGCCAATAATGAAATGTATGGAAATGGTGCAAAAGGTTTTCTGCAGAGCTTATGCAGAAAATTTTCTGAATTATTTGTGCCTTTTGTTCAAAATCAATTTTCTTGAACAAAAAAAATTTAACAATACCCAAGGCATTGTCTCTGCTTCCTCTTCTGGCCAGACATGAAACTGCGGGCTTTTTCAGACTGTTTACTCTCATTTCCCTTGACATCAATCCTCCAGAGAGAAAAACTACAATCATCCCAGCACTCAGAGTGCCCTTCCTGCTTTGCTTGGCAGAGGAACTAAAAAATAAAAATTAATGGAAATTACGTAGTAAACAAGAAATACTTTCGGACCATGACTCAAGAGATAGTCACTTATGTAATAGAGAGCAAAGGTTATGCAGTTGAGTGGGAATTGCATACAAGCTGTCTGGCCATATTTCATTCATGGATATATGGCCATGCGGGTTACCTGTAACTTTTGTGATAGTGCCTTTAGTGCTGCTCTCCTCATACTGCCATCATTATAGCATTTGCCTAAATAAATGCAATGTAGATCAAAGAAAAACAAAACACCTCTATATTAGAAATATCTGTATCTCAGCATCCTTACTAAAGTGTTGACTTGGCTCCATGCTTTGAAATTGTGTAAGTTGTAGTTTGGTGAGGCACCAGCACTTTCTGGGGACCCTTCTACACTGCACTATATCCCATGACCGAATCCCAGATTATCTGCTTACTCCAGATTGTATTGCTGTGGAGACTCATATAACCCAGTTCAAAGAGGATAATTTGGGATCAGATCATGGGCTATAGGGCAGTGTAGATCTAGGGTCCTTGTACACTGTCATATAAAATCCAGATTATATGCTTTGAACTGGGTTATATGGCAGTGTAGACTCATATAATTGAGTCCAAAGCAGATAATGTGGATCCTCTGCTTTAATAATCTGGATTATATGGCAGTGTAGAAGAGGTCCCAGCCTGGGAGAGAAGACTAAAGACCTTGTAGAACTACAACCCACAAGATTCTTTAGCACTGAGCCATGGCAGTTCAAGTGGTATCAAACTGGATTAAGTCTACAGTGCAGATGCACTCTTGATAGTATGTATAAGAAAGTAAGTTTGCCAGCCCAGAATTTCAGGCATCCACAAATCTAAAAATCCTATAGACAGTATTTTTTTTTCTAAACAATAATTATTTTTTAAATAGGGGAAAGACAATTAAACTAACAATATCGTTTGCAGTGACATTTAAATTATTCTAATGCACAGAGATTTCTCACCAAAGTCTTCAATTCTCCTAACATCTACTTGAGGTTTTTTGTCACTTCTTTTCTGCAGGAATTGTGCACAAATATTTGATTTTGCATGGTTTTTCAATACCAGTTCAATGCCAGAATGATTTATTTGACATGTTAGCTATCTCATTGGTTTACAAGTTATTCTCTCAGGTATAATGCTTCATGAGTATGCAGTCTTAAATATACATAATAGTGAATGAGTCTGCCTGAAGTCAAAGTGCTTGTATATTGACCATGTATATTGACTAGTGAGACAGGAAATCCCACAAGCACTTTATTTCTTGAAATATGAAACTGGTGGAGTATGAAATCTGAAACTCAACTGCTTGAGTTGGTTCTGCTTGTGAGTAAAACATACATAGGATTGTGATACAGAGTCCAATCCTTCATGTGTGTTTCTTAATAAAAGAAATTCTGTTGGAATCAGTGTGACGTTTCTTGGCATCTCAGGCCACTTCCGCACAGTTGAATAAAATCCCACATTTTTTGCTTTGAACTGGAATATATGGCATTGTGGACCCAGATACCCCAGTCCAAAGCAGATATTGTGGGATTTTGTGCCTTGATATTCTGGATTATATGGCTGTGTGGAAGGGTCCTCAATCAAGAGATAAAGCGAGATATGATTTATTATTATTTCTGATTTGTTTAGGGAGAAGCTGCTAAAGGGTCAAATTTGGAACAAGCAATTGCAGACCATGTAAGTGTGCAAAGTTTTTGTTTTGTTTTTTGAAAAAATTAAGCTTCTGAATGCTGGGACATAATCCCCCTTCTTGAACACACCTTCTGACAAAAGCAGTTTATTAGAGTAATTCATTACAACTGTTAAGTCAATTTGTTATATGTTGTATGGAACCACTGCTGTTTTTACTGTTTGTGAACCGCTGTGAGTCGCCTTCGGGCTTGAGATACAGCCGTATATAAGCAAAGTAAATAATAATAATAATAAATAAATAACTATTATTTCACTAATTTCAATCTTTTCTAGTTTTGTAATTCAGCTCCCATAATTCCTGACAGTTGACCATGCTGGGAGTTGGAAGTCCAAAACATAGTCTAACCTGAAGACTATTTATTTATTTATTTATTTACTTTGCTTATATACCGCTGTATCTCAAGCCCGAAGGCGACTCACAGCGGTTCACAAACAGTAAAAACAGTAGAAACAGCAGTGGTTCCATGCAACATATAACAATTGACTTAACACATTATCCATAAATTACCAATAAGCAATTACAATGCACAATTATTACGAAAAACAACCGTACCCAATCTTCTCATCATCCAAGCGTAGTCCAGGTTCGTCGTCCATTGTTCCATTCCTATGTTACATTAACCTGAAGACTATGGGTCCTTTCGCATAGCCATATAACCCAGAATATCAAGGCAGGTAATCCACAATATCTGCTTTGAACTGGATTATGGGTCCACACTGCCATATAATCCAGTTCAATGTGGATTTTATAGCTGTGTGGAAGGGACCTTGAAGTACATCTACACTGGAAATTAATGCAGTTTGACACCACTTGTACTGCCCTGTCTCAATGCTATCAAATAAAGAGAATTGTAGTTTTACACGCTATTTAGCCTTCCCTGCTAAATAGTTGAGGAGCCTTAAGAGTTTACAACTTCCAGGATTCCATAACATTTAGGGCTCTTCCACACAGCCATATCAAGGCAGAAAATTCCAAGATATCTGCTTTTAACTGGGTTACCTGAGTCCACACTACCATATATTCCAGTTCAAAGCAGATGTGGGATTTTATTCAGCTGTGTGGAAGCCATGACAGTTCAGGTGGTGTCAAACTGCATTAATTCTACAGCACACACATTCCACTATTTTGCATGCTCAATAATTCAATAAAGGGCTGCTTATTAATGTTCCCATACTCTGCGTGCCTTTTCATAGAATCCTAGAGTTGGAAGAGACCTCATGAGCCATCCAGTCCAACCCCCTGCCAAGAAGCAGGAAAACTGCATTCAAAGCACCCCCGACAGATGGCCATTCAGCCTCTGTTTAAAAGCCTCCAAAGAAGGAGCCTCTACCACACTCTGGAGCAGAGAGTTCCACTGCTGAACAGCTCTCACAGTCAGGAAGTTCTTCCTAATGTTCAGAATCTCCTTTCTTGTAGTTTGAAGCCATTGTTCCGCATCCTAGTCTCAAGGGCAGCAGAAAACAAGTTTGCTCCCTCCTCCCTATGACTTCCCCTCATGTATTTATACACATCTCTCAGGCTGAGAGGAGATATGATAGCCATGTATAAATATGTAAGAGGAAGCCACAGGGAGGAGGGAGCAAGCTTGTTTTCTGGTGCCCTGGAGACTAGGACGCAGAACAATGGCTTCAAACTACAAGAAGGAGATTCCATCTGAACATGAGGAAGAACTTCCTGACTGTGAGAGCCGTTCAGCAGTGGAACTCTCTGCCCCAGAGTGTGGTGGAGGCTCCTTCTTTGGAAGCTTTTAAACAGAGGCCGGATGGCCATCTGTCAGGGGTGATTTGAATGCAATATTCCTGCTTCTTGGCAGGGGGTTGGACTGGATGGCCCATGAGGTCTCTTCCAACTCTTTGATTCTATGTACGCTATGTCAGCCTTCTCTTCTGCAGGCTAAACATGTCCAGCTCTTTAAGCCGCTCCTCATAGGGCTTGTTCTCCAGACCCTTGATCATTTTAGTCACCCTTCTCTGAACACATTCCAGCTTGTCAATATCACTCTTCAATTGTCGTTCCCAGACTCAGGGCCCTTGGGGCTCTTGACTCAGGGCCCTTCTACACAACCCTATATTCCAGAATATCAAGGCAGAAAATACCACATTATCTGAGTGTGGACTCAGATAACCCAGATATTGTGGGATTTTCTGCCTTGATATTCTGGGATACAGGGCTGTGTGGGTGGGCCCTCAGAAGCAAAGGACCTTTCTACACAGCCTTATATCCCAGAATATCAAGGCAGAAAATCCCATATTATCCAAGCGTGGATTCAGATAATCCAGTTCAAAGCAGATACTGTGGGATTTTCTGCCTTGATATTTTGGGATATAGGGTTGTGTGGATGGGCCCAAAGCTTCTCCTTTCCCAAACATAAGAAAGAAAGAAAGAACAGCCTCCAATCAAAAATTCCATCACCGAAGAGTTTTGGCCTGCGCTGGCCACCGTCGCTGCCACGTGAAGCCGAAAAGCGCTGATTGGTTCGGCGAGCAGCCTATCATCCATCATCGCCGTCGTTCTTCGTTCGGGGAAGGCGTTCGAGACGGTGAGCGGACGTCAGGAGGCGCGGGTGAGTGACTGAGGGCGAGAAGTCAGGGAGGGCGGTGAGCGCGCGCCCAACTGTTTTTGCTCTCGCGCTCGGAACGTTCCACTCGGCTTGTTTGGTTTTTTTGGAGGCGGGGGAGGGGTCAGAGACGAGGCTTTGCTGCTCCTCTTCCTTTGCGTCTCCCGCTTGTGGAGGGGTTCTTGGAAGGGCCCAATTCTGCCCCCCCCCTCACCTTCGCTCCTCTTGGTACAGCCCTTCCTTGAATTAAAGACAAGCGGCCTTCTTCCATTCTGCCACTTTATACCCTGTGGATTCGGCCTTCCCCTCTTCGAGCAGCTTTGGCCCTTTCGGGTTTAATGGATTTTATATTGGCCTTTCCGACCTAAAGCAACCCCTTGGCAAGATTGTTCAGAGTGGAGAGTTTGCCTTCCTTTAAGGCTGAGCGAGTGTGTGACTCCCAAGGTCACCCAGTGGGCCTCATGGCTGAACAAGGATTTGAACCCCGGTCTCTAAAGGAAGCCTGAGCCAACTTGGGCCCTCCAGGGGTTTTAGACTTCAACTCCCACCATTCCTGACAGCCTCAGGCCCTTTCCTTTCCCCCCAGGGGGGAAAGGAAAGGGCCTGAGGCTGTCAGGAATGGTGGGAGTTGAAGTCCAAAACCCCTGGAGGGCCCAAGTTGGCCCAGGCCTGCTCTAAAACCAAAGCCCAGTGCTCATGTCACAACATAATGCAATAAGAAATGAGTTGTTGCTGGAAGCTTCATTAGGTCCTATTCTGGGAGAGAGGCAGCATAGGAATAATAATAATAAGAAGAAGAAGAAGTTTATTCCCCGCCGCCATCACCCCAAAGGGACTCGGGGCCGCTCACAGAAGAAATTTGAGGTGCCACACATAAAGCAACAATACATCTATCTCTATCTATCTGGGCCTAACAGCGGGAACTCTCCCCGCTCCCCAGATTTGAATCGCCGACCTTTCGGTCAGCAAGTTCACTGGCTCAGCAGTTTAACCTGCTGCGCTACCGGAGGGCTCCAAAAAAGAACAATAGAAATCTGAAAACAACAAACACACCTAAATCGCATCTGATAAAATTGTAAAATTCATAAAAAGCAGTAGCACCTGTGAATAAAACTGACTACAAGTAACAACCAAAGTGTTGTTTTATATTTTTGAAATGTTTTAATGCATTTTATAATTCTATTTAAATGTTTCTAATCACACATTGTTTTTGAAGGCATGTGCCTAAGTGTAAGCTGCCTTGAGTCCCCTCTGGGATGGGGGTGGGGGTTAAAATGTTGTAAATAAATAAGTGCCCAGAGTGAACAATCACTGAATTCTCACTCTGACAATAAATTATACAAGGTCGAAGTCCTGCCTAAAAAGCCATGTTTTTAAACCAGCCCAAACGGCTTGGCAAGTGGGAGCTAACCTAATCTCTCTTGGGAGGGTATTCCAGAGTTGGAGGGGTCCATCACGATGAAGACCCTTTCTCTCGTTCTTGGGTGGTGGGACTAAGAAAATAGCCTTCCTGGCAGATCTCAATGTGGTCTCGAAGATAGGTTGGACCCGAAGCGTATAGGGCTTTATAGGTGATAACCTGGACTTTGAATTGGGTCCAGAAACTTAACCTGCTCTAATAGGGGCATAGTGTGCTCCCTATAGTTAGCTCCAGGTAGTAATCTAGCTGCCCATCTTTGCACCAACTGCAGCTTCTGAGCCGTCTTCAAAGGCAGGCCCCACGTAGAATGCTTTACAGTACATTCTGGATGTAACCAAAGTGTGGACCACCGTGGCCAAGTACAAATATAAACAAATAATAATAAATCTTTATTTCTAGACCACCCTCTCTCCCTGCAAGGACTGAATTACAGTGCTGGAAGCTGTCATGGTGCTGGGATCTGTAGTTTTAAAAGTTTTCTCTGCCACAGAGTGCTGGTGCCTCGCCAAACTACAACTTCCATGGCATGTTAAAAGTGGCATCAAACCAAATTCGTAATGCAGCATAGGTACATCCTAATAGATTTTCAAATTTGCTGACATCTGATGTGAAAATCAACTCAAAAGCATTTTAAAGAATCATACTAGAATCGCAATAGAATTGTCCGAATGTTAATCAAAACTGGGCAACCATGGAATTGCTAAAAATAAAAAGTTGTGAATGAACTATGTGTAGTTAACTACTTTAATTCTGTTTTTCTGATTCCGCACCCAAAATTAAAAACAGCCCCCCCCCCCCATTCCAAACCATCCATTATAATGGTAGAATGAGAGAAGATATCAGTATGGATCTATGTAGTTGGTTCTCCAAAGGAATAAAGGTTAAGGCTGAAAGCAGTATGTTTTTCTTGTCAATAATGGATTAAGGTCGAGGTCAGTTTTCTCATTTCACTCTGTATTTTTATCCTCACAGCCATTCTCATCGCCAAGTGACTGGGTAAGTATATGAAACAAGATCTCTATCGAGTTCAGGTGATACTAACCACCACATCCTGTGTGTTTTTAAACACTTTACTAGGTGATGAATATACTTTTGTTGTTCATTCGTTCAGTTGCTCTTTGTGACCTCATGGACCAGCCCATCCCAGAGCTCCCTGTTGGCCGTCACCATTCCCAGCTCCTTCAAGGTCAAGCCAGTCACTTCAAGGATACCATCCATCCATCTTGCCCTTGGTCAGTCCATCTTCCTTTTTCATACTAGAAACAGACAATATGACATCAAGCCGTGGGTATCACCCCACCCAATTTTGGAACGCATATTCCATTAAAATGTAAAAGTACATAGCTATATACAAATGGCAACATTCCATTGGATTTGGTTGGACGTCCACCACAATCATATCCATGTCTCCTTGGTAATAAATCCATCTAAATTCTTGTGGACTGTCTAAGTAATAAGTATATATCTAGACTACAGTTTAATCCAGATTCTAGAGCTTTTTTCTCAGTGCTGTTTGGAAATATAAGTTTCCATAGAGCTAAATCCAGTTGTTAGTTACAATGTAACAGCTGTTGAATCAGTGAAATAATATACCATATATTCATATATAAGTCAACCTCATATATAAGTTGAGGACAGGTTTTGAGGCCAAAATTATGGATTTTGATATGCCTAGATAAATCAAAGGTCATTCCTTGGAGAAAATAAAACACCAATGCCTGCAGGTTCAGTTGGACTACAGTACTTTACTTGGGACTAACCATAAAATTTCCCCCATAAGTTGAAAGCTACTAGAGGTCATGCCCAACTCACTACTAAGTATAGGCTCTACAAAGTTTTAATCTTTGTAACTGACAGCTGTCCAGCTCTGCTTAAATTGCTCTAGCATAAGGAGACTCCACCATCTCCATAGGCAAGTGTCTTCCACAACATAACAGTTTTTATGGTTATGAAAAGTATCCTGATTTTCAACTGAAATCTCTTCTGTTTTTACTCTCTGAACTCACAGAGCAGAATTCTGTTTCATCATGTGCATTTCAGGTCGCCTGTTGAACCTCATTTAGTTTTGGCATAATATGTTTGGATCTATTCAAATTAATACTGGTACCTAAGGTGCCACCTATATCTCTGTTAATTGATCAGCAATCCCTCTGCACTCTTATTTAGGGCACTTATAAAAATATTGAAAGTGGAAAGCTAATTATTGACCTGAAAAGTAACTGAGAGGGCCAAGTGCTAATTTCGAATTACCCTTGGCCCACTTTTTTCAGCTATTTTTTTTCTGGATTTTACTTGTGAACTAATCTAAGTGTTGTTGATGGGTCTCAGGCCAGCACCTCTGTGGCAGATTATATCCTATAGCAACAATGCTTCTGACTGTCCTAGAAATAATTGGATCCATTGAAACCTATTTCTGCTAATGAATTCAGTCTATGTCCCTGTGTGCATTTACAAAGACCTGTTGTGTCTCAGATGTTGTGTTTGCTTGTGGATTGTTTAACCATTTGTGACATATTAGTCACTATCTTGTTGCTTATATAAAAAACTCATTAGAGAATGTGAAGGATAAAAGTCTAAATGACACTTAGAATGGAGGCTGATGAAAACAAACATAAATTTAAGAAGTGGGTAGTATAAAAATATAAATAAGACTGCCACTTAATAATCCTAAAAATGTTGTTAGAGGCTATTTATTCCATGTTATATTTAAATGAAGAAATACGTTTTGTGTGGTGAATAGATCTTATATATTAAAGGTAAAGGTTTCCCCTTGACATTAAGTCTAGTTGTGCCCAACTCTGGGGGGTGGTGCTCATCTCCATTTCTAAGCCAAGGTCATGTGGCCAGCATGACTGCATGGAGCACCGTTACCTTCCCGCCAAAACAGTACCTATTGATCTACTCACATTTACATGTTTTCGAACTACTAGATTGGCAGAAGCTGGGGCTAAAGGCGGGAACTCTCCCCGCTCCCTGGATTCGAACTGTTGATGTTTCGTTCAGCAAGTTCAGCAGCTCAGCTGTGCCACTGGGGCTCCAGATCTTATAGATCCATGGCAAATCTAAATAAGAATATCAGATTATGTAGCTAAAGATAATTTTGATGATTGTTGAACAAGTATCTCTTCATTTAAAACAACCATTTTATTTGATATTTATTTCCCTAGCAAACTCCTGTGTATTCCATCTCAATGTCACTGTTGAGCTTTTGTTTATCTGTTTTGCATTCTTCAAGATAAAGCATTTTCCTAGTTCTTATTTGTTTAGGTCTGGCAGAATGAGCCTGCGAAAACAAACTCCAAGTGATTTCTTGAAACAAATAATTGGAAGACCAGTTGTTGTAAAGCTAAATTCTGGAGTTGATTATCGAGGTACGTTTTTTTCTGTCTTATCCTTTAGCCAGCTTCATACATTTACACCATATTTTAGTCAGGCCAAAGAACCAATATAAACTTTGATGGTACAGAATGGCTGGGGAAAGTTCTCTGTTACCATCAATTGTCTTTTAACATAATTTTTACATAATCCATAAATGAAAGAATAGCTTTTCTAGTTTTCAAAGCAGATTAGCCATGTGTTAAAAGTTCTGTATGGTGACTTTTTAGTTTGTAAACTGAATGTTAGAGAATGAATATTGCTTTATTTGATAGGTGAATGTGAATTCCCATTAGCTATGTGTTTCAGTTTCTCCAGTCATTTTTGTGATGCACTATTTACATGCAATTTTAATGCAACATTTGCTTAGGAAAGTGATTGATTTCATTTATATTCTGCTTGTTCTCCCAAATGGTAGTCAAAACAGCTGTAGTTTTCAAATCTGAATAGTTCTGTGTTTAATTGTTCTAGGAGTGCTGGCTTGCTTGGATGGATACATGAATATAGCTCTGGAACAGACAGAGGAATACGTAAATGGACAGCTGAAGAATAAATATGGAGATGCTTTCATCAGAGGAAACAATGGTACTTATACTTTGCTAAGAGATACTAGAGTTGGGTATACGCATTTCAAATGTTTTGAAGAAATCGTACCAATCATCTTAACAGAGAAATACAAGTCTGCCTAGAAATCCTGCCAGTTGACCTTCTTTCATCATATATTGGCAAGGGAGATATTCCTCATATACTTTGTGGCATTGTTATGTGTGGTTGTTTTTTTTAAACTGGGAAAAGATTTAGAGATGAAGTTTCTCACCATTTCTCTTTAACTGCTATATGGTGCTAGGGCACATGTGTGTATGTGTGTGTGTTTTAATTTATAATTTTGTATGTTTGTTTGTGTGTGTGCACGCACATGTGTGTGGGTTTATATGAATTTGGAATTTCTACTAGCTTTTTCCATCCTTGCTGGAAATTCAAGTGGGAAAATGGGATTGTCTTCTTAAGTGTTGTACCACTTCAGATGGTTGTAGTGGAACAAAAATGAAGGAGAGAGTGATGGGAATGTTTGTATGTCATTGTATATAAATAAATATAAATAAATTTTCTCTATAAAAATTTTTCTATAGAACAATGATGTAATAGGAAAGTAGGGAACATATAACAAAAATACAAGAAAAAAAACTACTATTAAAAAAAAGAGTCTGTTGACTTTCATCTAATCCTTTGCGGTTTTATCTTTGTCTTTATCTAAATATTTTCTATTGAGGGTACAGTTTCGTAACACTTCAATAAAGTAAATCGGCTCTTCTTGTATCTCCATTACACACTAGTGTCTAGGGCTGGGCGGTTTCGTTTCGTTAATTCGTAATTCGTTAATAATTCGTTAATTTTTTCAATTACAAAACGATAACGAACCATTCTGGAGCAATTATTTAAAAAAAGAATTTTCAAAAACGTTTTGTAAATGCTTCGTATTTCGATATTGTATTCGTTTCGTTATTGTTTTGAGGTCGTTTCGTTATTATTTCCGCATGTCTGGGCCAGTTTTATGGTTTAATTAGTGAAAAAAAATTATAATATCACACCAACAGTCAACAACAGAGGGAGAGGGAAGCTTCAGAAGGTTTTGGAGGTTTTTTAGCGTATTTCGCGGTCGCGTCCGCCATTATCGAATCGATTCGTTATTGTTTCGGAAATCGATTCGTTAATTTTTTTACCATTTACGAAATTTCGTAAATATCGAACTTTTTAAAAGGAAAATTTTGTAATTATTTTAAATATCGAAACAAAAAAAACCCCCAAATACAAATCGATTTTAGAAACAAATTTTTCCGTTGTTACCCGTCTTTTAATATATCTATTTAAATCTCATTTTTTCATATTCCTCTATCTTGGACCAGCCTGTATATTTAATTGGATTCCCCGAATTTTTCTTTAACAAAAAAGTTAGTTTATCCATGTCTTTGATCTCTCTCACTTTCTGAAACCATTCATCTATATCTGGTGTTTCTTTTTTGCTTCCAATATCTTGCATAGAAAATTCTGGCAGCAGTGGTCAGATAAGTTAGTGGTCAAATAAGTAAACAAAATATCATCATTGTAATCTAGCGGTAGGTTCAAATCAGTTATGCCTAAAAGGTAAAATTCTGACTTCATGGGGAATTTAATCTTGAAAATGTGTTGGGTTGCTGCATGTATTTTCTCCCAGAACCTTTTTGCTTCCTTACAGGTCCACCACATGTGAAGGAAACTATACAGCATTGTTCTCCAGCTTTGCATGTACAAGAAAAAAATACCCTTCTATTTTTTATTTATTTTTTTGGTAGTAGTTTTTTTTCTTGTATTTTTGTTACATCATTGTTCTCCCACTTTACATGTACAAGGAAAAATACCCTTCTGTTTTCTTTCTTTTTCTTTTGACCCCTCAATCCTTGATCTTCCCTTTCTACTCTTAATAAAAAAAATAGATTTGAAAAAAATTGAAAATTCCCTATAGAAAAATAGGATGAATAAATAAAATCCAGAACACATGCAACTACTACAAAATTCCAGCAGAAATTATTTTCTCTTTGATACTAATATTAGAAGTATAGTACAATATCATACAGGCCCCTTCCACACAGCTATTTATTTATCATGTCAGAAGCGAAGCAAGGGTACAGTTGTAATGTATTTAAAATCATAATTGGCATTATACTAAATGCCTTTGACCAATAGCTGGCCACTTGGAGTGCCTCTGGTGTTGCTATAAGAAGATCCTCCATTGTGCATGTGGCAGGGCTCAGGCTGCATTGTAATAGGTGGTCTGTGGTTTGCTCTTCTTCACACTCACATGTCATGGCCTTCACTTTGTAGCCCCATTTCTTAAGGTAGGCTCTGCATCTCGTGGTGTCAGAGCGCAGTTTGTTCAGTGCCTTCCATGTCATCCAGTCTTCTGTGACCCCAGGAGAGAGTCGCTGATTTGGTATCAACGATGGTTGAAGTTCTGGGTTTTAGCCTGCCACTTTTTGGACTCTCACTTGCTGAAGTGTCCCTGCGAGTATCTCGGTAGATCTTAGAAAACTATTTCCACACATCTGTATAAAATCCACATTGAACTGGATTCGAAGGCAGTGTGGACTCAGATAACCCAGTTTAAAGCAAATATTGTAGATTATCTGCCTTGATATTTTGGGTTTTATGGCTGTGTGGAGGGGCCCACATTTAATTTGAGAACAAAGCAAAATGCTGTTGGCCAAATGGAAGAGTTATGTTCCTGTTTAAACCCCTTACATTTTAACTAGTAGGTTTTAAAACGGCATAGTATTTTTTCTGAGTCTTGTTTTTTTTTTCTAAGGATGTGAACTTCTTCCTACTACTAAGATTTTTCATTCTGCTGATCTTATAAAACAAAAAATACCTTAGAACCATGAAGAAAGTTTTTGTGCAAATGTTGGCTCTGTTGTACAAATACAGAAAAACCGGCATGGTGCTATAATAGAATAACCCTATAGTAGTTCTGTATATGAAGATGTATTAGATCATATTTTTATTTAATTTCCATTTTCTACTCAAGTGCAAAGTTTAAAATGCCCTTCTTATATGGAAAATGGCATGATCTGACCCAACTGGATGTTCTGGTAGAAATAATAGAGTTAGTGAAATGAAGTTGATATATCAGTCGCATGCTGCTAGATTTCTGCAAAGTATCTTAATTTTCTTTTCTTTTCCTTTCAAACAGTGTTGTATATAAGTACACAGAAGAGGAGAATGTGAGCCTACAAGAAGATGAAATATTTCATTTTGCTACTTTAGTTTCTTAAAAGTTTTGTTTGCTACCTGTAATCCTTCAGTTTACAAGACTATTATGTTGTGCCGTAAAGTTACATGGTCTGTATGGATATTTTTTTATACATAAAACCAAAATGGAACTTTTTCTCAGTTTGGAACAATTTTTTTCTGTTGTGATTTGAAATGAAATAAAAACGGAAAATAACCTGACCTGTTTGTTCTGTAAAGCTAAATTTAAGCAACATCTGGTACTCATATGAACAGATCCACGTTGAGGAATAACACCATACTGGAACTTTTCTTGGGCTGCCAAGGTGTGAAAAATTGTCTTCCACGTTTTTGGATGACTGAGAAGGTAAGACAAACTGTGTGTCCAATATTGAAAACACAGACTATTTCTTAAGCTATACTAATTAAGTAAAATGTTCAGTTGCTGATTGAAGTTAACCCACAAAAACCTTGGCTGTGGGGTTGTAGCGGTGACAATCCTACAATAGCAAGAACTTGGAAGGAAATGCCTAGGATTAACACTGTGCCAGCTGTAGAAAGCACTAAGTGAGAAAGTGATCGGCTTTGCTGTTTGTGTGCCAGCACTCCATATCCTGGCAGCATTTTTCTCTCCTGGTTGCTATTAATTCTGTTGTCTTTCTCTTTTCATCAGTGAACTATGAGGCCTCACAAGATAAAAAGTTTAGGGATTTAAGCCCTTGAATCTATTAACCTTTAATTTTTAAAATCAAGTTTTAGATACCTGGCATTTTCAAATAGAAACAAGAAAATTAATTAGCAGTTTTTGTTATAATATACACAGAGGAGGTCTCTATAGGATTGGATTAGTCAAGGTTTCATCTCATGGATTTATTAAGTCATTGTTGAGAGCACAAACTCCTTTCTGCTTTCAAATATTGGTGCCAGAAATAATCAATTAGATACTTGGATTTTTAAGTAGAGAAAGTGGAATAATGGGAAGTCAGCTTGAAGTCAGAAATTATATCCAGCAGACTAAATTTAGAAAACTCAGTCACTTCTAACTATATACCTAAAGCATTGAAATCTTTCTTATTTTCTGCAGATTCTTGAAAATAATATTTTTTCAAAATAAGAAGAATAAAAAACAGATGCTAGAGTATCTAGAAAAGTGTCTTGTTCCCCTTTCATATACTTCTAGGCTATACTGATATGCTAATACTTAGTTTTAATTTTCCCTTAAACTTAGTGGGCCTCACTTCTGAGTAGAATTATACTGCTAGAGGAGCTAAAGTAAAGCAGAAGAATATAATACAGACGTTAATATGCTGTTTTGATATCAAACTTCAAGTATTGTCCATCGTGATGGACAGTGTTCCCTCGCTACTTCGCAGTTCGCTTTTAGAGGACTCGCTGTTTCACAGGTTTTTGAAAATATTAATTAAAAATATTAAATATTTATGTCCAGTGGAGGGCAGGGACCCCAAAAGTGTGGTGGCCTGAGGCACAGCATGGAAGGCCTGTCTCCCTGGCCTCCACAGACCCCAGAAGTGCAGCGGTCTGAGGTGAGGCAGGGAAGACCTGCCTCTGGCCTGCTGCTGGCTGCGTGGCTCTGGAGACTCTGCGGAGGCCAGGGAGGCAGGCAGGTGCCCTTGAGATGGGCCAGGAAGCGCGTAAGGAAGCACGGGTAAGAAAATAATATATAAAATAATGTATAAATATTAAAATTAATATAGCATCCCTACTTTGGGGCCTTTACTTATTGCGGATGGTCCTGGAACAGAACCCCCGCAATAAGTGAGGGAGCACTGTACTGCCTATTTGAAGCAGCACATACCTTACCGTTAAGCATGAATGAACACTAACAATTGTGTGAACTCAACATCCCAGCTCTATACTTTCTAAGGACATCTAATATACAAAGGGGAACAGCAACTCTTGAAGACAATACATTAATAATTGTTAACTTAGTAACATTAAACATTTCTCATGCTTTTACTCAATAAAAAGAAGACACAATTGTACAGTATGGTTCAATAACTTTAACTTTTTGGCACGGGTTTGACAGGTCTGTCGAATAAGCAAAACCATATGTTTGCTCTATCAGTATTTTTTTTTGAAGAGAAGAAAATCTGTTTCGTTTTTTTAAAATTATCTTTTTGTAAGAAGACAGTTGGCAAGCTTTGTCTCTTCAACTTCTCCCATGGTTCCTGGAAGCAAGTATATCATTGAAATGCTTGGAGCCAGAGGTGTTTTGGATTTTGGAATATCTGTATTTGCATATATGTATATAATGAGATATTTTAGATATGAGACCTAGATGCAAATTTCACTTATGTTTCATATATACTTTATACCAGGCGTAGGCAAACTTCAGCCCTCCAAGTATTTTGGACTTCAACTCCCACAATTCCTAACAGCCACTGTTAGAAATTATGGGAGTTGAAGTCCAAAACACATTGAGGGCTGAAGTTTGTCCGTGCCTGCTTTATACACATAGCCTGAAGATAATTTTATATACAATATTTTTAATAATTTTGATCATGAAACAAGTTTGCATACATTGAACCATCAAAAGGTATGCTCACCCTGTAACCTGTTTTACTTCTCATTATCTATAACAGTATATTAGTACAATATTTGTCTTCGCTACAAGCTGTTTCATTTCACAATATCTTCTCCACAGATGTTTAATCTTGTCAAAACTTTAAGGAAAAGCTTGTTTGAAGAGCCATGACCCAGATACATATACACTGCGATGCATGCATATCTCAAGACAGCAGTTGGGGATTCACATTTCCAACTGTGTTGCATTGTGAAAAGCACAGTTTCCACCATAATATTGTAACATTAGTTGTGTAATGACACTGATGAAGCTGTACCTTTCATGGCCTCTTTGGACACAGTTCCTATTCAAAAAAAGCTAAATTGGTAATATCAGGGATACAAGGTTCTTTGTTATTCAGTCTTAAAAAAGTGAAATAGGCTTCTTATTCCTATCTGTATACTGTGAGCCGCATATTCAATGTTTGCATTAAGTCCCTTTGTGTGCTGGATGTTCACTGTTTGCCTTAAGACTATGCATACTGAAAAGAGTGGAAAGAATCCCAACTGTAGAAAATGAACTCACAAAAATAATGTGCACTTTAATAAAAAAATAACGAGATAACTAAACATCTGTATGTTGTTGATCTGTAACATCCTTTAAATGTTCAAATCACTATAATTTCAAGTTACAAAGATAAAGTGTATTTCAGTTAGAATTTGCCTCCTGAAACAATGTTTGGAACTTTTAAAATTCTAAGTTACCAATTAAAATAGGTGCTAGCTTTAGTCATGCTTTAACTTTCTGAACGTCTAGAACAACTTTCTAGTTCTCTTTGCTCTTGTGACCATCTAATATATACCATCTAATGTATACTATATACAATGTTCAGTAATTCTCAACGCAATAGTTCGGTTTTTATTCTGCTTGAAGCATTTTAAAAATTATGATAATGTGTAATAGAACTTGAACAGTTAATATAGTTTTAAATGTTGTCTTCATGATATAAAACAGGCATGGGCAAACTTTGGCTCTCTAGGTCAGCGTTTCTCAACCTGGGGGTAGGGACCCCTGGGGGAGTCTTGAGGGGATGTCAGAGGGGTCGCCAAAGGCCATCAGAAAACACAGTATTTTCTGATGGTCATGGGGGTTCTGTGTGGGAAGGTTGGCCCAATCCTATCTGTGGGATTCAGAATGTTCTTTGATTGTAGGTGAACTATAAATCGCAGCAATTACAACTCCAAAATGTCAAGGTCTATTTTCTCCGAGCTCCACCAGCATTCACATTTGAGCATATTGAATATTCATGCCAAGTTTGGTTCCGATCCATCATTTTTTGAGTCCACAGTGATCTCTGGGTGTAGGTGAACTACAACTCCAAAACTCAAGGTTAATGCCCATCAAACTGTTCCAGTATTATCTGTTGGTCATGGCAGTTCATGTGCCAAGTTTGGTTCAATTCCATTGTTGCTGAAGTTCAGAATGCTCTTGTAAGTCAACTATAAATCCCAGCAACTACAAAATCACAACACTTCCCCCCCCCCCCACCACCACCCATCAGTATTCAAATTTGGGCGTATCGTATATTTGTGCCAAATGTGGTTCAGTGAATGAAAACACATCCTGCATATCAGATATTTGCATTGTGATTCATATCAGTAGCAAAATTACAGTTTTGAAACAGCAACAAAATAATTTTCTGGTTGGGGGGGTCACCATAACATGAGGAACTGTACTAGGAAGGTTGAGAATCGCTGCTCTAGGTGTTTTGAACTTAATTCCTAACAACCGGTAAGCTGGCTGGGATTTCTGGGAGTTGATGTTGAAAACATCTGAGGGTTCAAGCTTGCCCATACCCAATATAAAACCTTATATTGCCCAAGCGCAGAAACTTCAGTTACCACTTGCAGCCTTTCCTCGTGGGATTTTGTAGTCATGACATATCTCCTTGGCTAAAATCAATGACATCAGCCCAAGTAGATATAAGAGAGGACAGAGAAAACTAAAGTTCACATGGCAGCAGCCATTGCCCCTTGTGAGCTCATGCTGAAGTCAATTTTTATGTTTTTTTTTTAAAAAAACCCACGCATTGACTTTTGTCTAAGCTCTCCTCTGCTCATGGATTATTTCTTTTCCTCTAATGATTCCCCTAGAAACCAGATCCTTGAACTTGTCAAAAAATCCCCCACTGTGTGCAATAAAATCATTCTGTCTTAGTCCTAGCAGTCTTTGAGTTGGAAAAAAAAACCCCTACGGAGGTTTACAGACACAAGCTTTGTATCTCGCTATAATAATTTGATAGTTCCAATTATATGTTCACTTAAAGAAGCATCAGTAGGGATTCCCTCCCACATAAATACAAATATACATAGAATTGTACCCCATATTTTGTTTTCATTGTACAAACTTTGTTCTCATTGTGTATTGGTTTGTTTTTAAAGAGGATGAGTTGTGTGTGACGAAATCTTAACATGATTAAAACTGAATTTGCGCACTGACAGAGTTCCTGTAAATTTTAAGTATTAAGGCAACAGCTGCTGAACTTCCTATTAGTGGAAAAAGCAAATGACTTTTTTCTTTGAAGGATGTTTGCTTAAAAGGCGGAAGGAGAAAACTGCTGCCTGCCTGAAGGAACATGTATACTAAGGTAAGTACCAGAAAATATAAATAGATTAGAAGCTTCAGATGCCAGGATGGGATTGTATGGAGTAACAATTTGAGAACTGGAGGTGGAAGAATGTAATCTAATATTCTTTATTTATAAATCATTTTTGTGTTTGAATACATTTAATTTCTTAGTGGGGTGGAGTGATTGTGCCAAGATAATAGTCAAAAATATGGGTGATTCTATTGTCCCAACCAGAGCTTGGAAACATTTTGGGCGATTGCCTCCAGAATCTCCTAGCTAGCATACCCAAACGTCATGTTGATCGGAGGGATTCTAAGAACTGTAGTTAAAAAAAAACAAAAAACCACATTTGCAAATTCTGGTTTAAACTAATTTGGTGGCTTGGTTTTGGATAACTGGGCCTTTTATAGCTGCTTCCAACATGTAAATGGCTGCAGAAATTATTTTGAAGGAAAAGAACTGAGCTAAACAACCACCTTTGTTCCCGTTTGCTTTCTGCTTAAAGCGGAGAAAGAAGATCTCACTGTTTTGTGATATTTGATCGAGGAGCTTTATAGGTGTTCCCAGCATCTATATCAGCTGAACCTCATTGCATCCACAGCAACATTGTGTATTGATTTAAGGAACTTTGAGGTGGTATAATTCACGTGGTAAGCAACTGTGATTATCTAGAGCAGATATGAACAAACAGACCCAGGGACTGGATACAGTCCCTTGGGCTCTTTTCTCGGGTCCTCCTCTCTCACCGTCCTATCCTTCCCTCTCTTTCCTTCCTCCTTCCCTCCCTCTCTTCTTTCCTTACCTCCCTCTTCCTCCCTGCCTCCTTCCCCCCTTCTCTTTCACCTTTTCTTTCCTCTTTCTTCCCTCCCTCCCTTTAGTCGTTCCTTCCTTCTACCTCCCCTCCCTTTTGCCCTCCATTCCCTTCCACCCTTCCTTCCATCCTTCTCTTCCTCCCTCCCTTCTCTTTTCCCTTCCTCATGGGGGATGTTTAGTTGGGAGAAGAGAAGGTAGAGAGAACATGAGAACCATGTTTCAAGATTTCAAAGGGTGTCCCATTGAGCAGGAGGGGGAAAACTGACTTTCTGCTGCTCTAAAGACCAGGCACAAGGGAGCAATGGTTTAAAATGGCAGGGAAAGAGATTTGACTGAAAAGACTAGGAAGAACTTCCTGAGAGTAAGAGCTGTTGGAGAATGGCATAGGCTGCCTGGGAGTGTGGTGGAGTCTCCTTCTCTGGAGGCTTTTCCACAGAGGCTGTCTATTGGGAGTGCTTTGATTTTGTCTTCTTGCATGGCAGAGGGTTGGACTGGGTGGCCCTTGGAGGTCTCTTCCAACTCGGATTCTAGCTCAGGAGTCTAAAGGATACACTTTTTTTCCTCTCATCCGCCATCTCATCATGACCAAGACCAATCCTTTTGGGATCCAAACGTTTCCCGTCTTTCCTTCACTTTCTGCCTCCACAAGAGAAGAGAAATGGGAGGAAAGTGCAGGGAGGGGACTTGGGGAGAACCCCCTCCTTTCCAGCCTGCCCACCCTGCTCTGGCCTGCCATGCTGCCTCAAAGTTAGAAAGCTTGCCAGTGCCTGGCCTAGAGACATACGATGGAATGATGACTATAAAAGGTTATGGCCAAGGCTATTCCGTGGAAAACTAGGTTTGTGAGAAGCAACTGATTTCCAAAAAATTAAGGAAACGCTGAGCAGCATTCCGTGGACACAGATACTAAAAGACAAGGGAGTTACGGATGGATGGGAATTTCTCAAGAGTGAAATACTCAAGGCGCAATTGCAAACTGTGCCAACAAAGAGAAAAAATAGGACAAGTGCAAAGAAGCCAGAAGGGATGTCCAAAGAACTTCTAACTGTGCTAAGACACAAAAGAGACATGCACAAGAAGTGGAAAAAGGGAGAAATCACCAAAGAAGAATTCAAACAAATAGCCAACACCTGTAGGGAAAAGGTCCGCAAGGCTAAAGCAAAAAACGAGCTCAGACTTGCCAGGGACATTAAAAACAATAAAAAGGTCTTCTATTCTTATGTCAGTAGAAAAAGGAAAAACAAGGAGGCGATAGGACCTCTTCGAGGAGAAGATGGGGCAATGCTGACAGGGGATAGGGAAAAGGCAGAACTACTTAATGCCTTCTTTGCCTCGGTCTTCTCACAAAAAGAGAGTCTTCAACCTCAGCAAGATGGAGTGGATGAGGAATTGGAGGACATCCAACCCCAAATTGGGAAAGAAGTCGTCCAGGAATACCTGGCCGCTCTTAATGAGTTCAAGTCCCCAGGGCCAGATCAACTACACCCCAGAGTATTGAAGGAACTAGCGGAAGTCATTTCGGAACCATTGGCAACCATCTTGAGAGTTCTTGGAGAACGGGAGATCCAGCAGATTGGAGGAGGGCCAATGTGGTCCAATCTTCAAGAAGGGAAAAAAGGATGACCCAAACAATTACCGTCCGGTCAGTCTCACGTCGATACCAGGCAAGATTCTGGAAAAGATTGTTAAGGAAGTGGTCTGCAAACACTTAGAAACAAATGCAGTCATCGCTAATAGTCAACATGGATTTATCAAAAACAAGTCATGCCAGACTAATCTGATCTCTTTCTTCGATAGAGCTACAAGCTGGGTAGATGCGGGGAATGCCGTGGATGTAGCGTACCTGGATTTCAGTAAGGCCTTCGACAAGGTCCCCCATGACCTTCTGGCAAGGAAACTAGTCCAATGTGGGCTAGGCAAAACTACGGTGAGGTGGATCTGTAATTGGTTAAGTGGACGAACACAGAGAGCGCTCACTAATGCTTCCTCTTCATCTTGGAAAGAAGTGACAAGTGGAGTGCCGCAGGGTTCCGTCCTGGGCCCGGTCCTGTTCAACATCTTTATTAATGACTTAGATGAAGGGCTAGAAGGCATGATCATCAAGTTTGCAGACGACACCAAATTGGGAGGGATAGCCAATAGTCCAGAGGACAGGAGCAGAATTCAAAACGATTTTGACAGATTAGAGAGATGGGCCAAAACTAACAAAATGAAGTTCAACAGTGACAAATGCAAGATACTCCACTTTGGCAGGAAAAAATGAAATGCAAAGATACAGAATGGGGGACGCCTGGCTCGAGGGCAGTACGTGTGAAAAAGATCTTGGAGTCCTCGTGGACAACAAGTTAAACATGAGCCAACAATGTGATGTGGCGGCAAAAAAAGCCAATGGGATTTTGGCCTGCATCAATAGGAGCATAGTGTCTAGATCTAGGGAAGTCATGCTACCCCTCTATTCTAATTTGGTTAGACCCCACCTGGAATATTTTGTCCAATTCTGGGCACCACAATTCAAGAGAGATATTGACAAGCTGGAATGTGTCCAGAGGAGGGCGACTAAAATGATCAAGGGTCTGGAGAACAAGCCCTATGAGGAGCGGCTTAAGGAGCTGGGCATGTTTAGCCTGAAGAAGAGAAGGCTGAGAGGAGATATGATAGCCATGTATAAATATGTGAGAGGGAAGCCACAGGGAGGAGGGAGCAAGCTTGTTTTCTGCTGCCCTGGAGACTAGGACGCGAACAATGGCTTCAAACTACAAGAGAGGAGATTCCATCTGAACATGAGGAAGAACTTCCTGACTGAGAGAGCCGTTCAGCAGTGGAACTCTCTGCCCCGGAGTGTGGTGGAGGCTCCTTCTTTGGAAGCTTTTAAGCAGAGGCTGGATGGCCATCTGTCAGGGGTGATTTGAATGCAATATTCCTGCTTCTTGGCAGGGGGTTGGACTGGATGGCCCATGAGGTCTCTTCCAACTCTTTGATTCTATGATTCTATGATTCTATGATTCTATAACTGTATCGTAAGAGGGGAAACGAGGAAAGGCTTGGATACTAAAATGAGGAATATGTTTTTCCTTGCAATTGACTTGTTACCCATTGCAACATTCCCTATATATAAAAAACAGAGGAGTCTCTGGCCATCTCCTGTCTAAACTTTATCTGGAAAAAAGTCCCTAGACGTCTCTGGTGTTGCCCATTGCTGGCTTGCATTTCGCAGCACAGCTGCAGTGTCAGCGACGGCCGGCTTGCCATGAGCCAGAAGTGTATTGGCACAGTACTGTAGGTCATAACCCTGCCAGGATGGCTGGTTTAAAAAAAGAAAAACAGTTCCAGGAGAAGTCAAAGCCTGCTTTGTTCTCAAAATGTTTTATTTTGCGGACTAACCCAAGCAGAGCTCCATGGATGATTAAGCTCTCCTTTCTAGCAGTCCAAACTATTTGAAAACCCTGGTTTCAACTAAATCTGGAATTCAAAGGGGTCACGGTTTCACTTCATACGTGCTGTATTTTTACAGAGATTATTACTGTACTTAAATGTCTTTTCTCCCCCTGACAGACAGAGGAGGAGATGAAAGTCCAAGCACTGCTTCTTGTGTGGGCAATTACGATCCTGTGCTTGGTTTCATACACTGCAGGATTTTCCCATGGGGCCAGTCTTTCGGCTTGTACTGATATGAGGCCCAAACATATCAGAGCTCACCTTCAGAACCCACAAAATAAATATATTACCATCCACACCAATATGTCTTTTTTCCCGGGTGATAAAGTACCAGGTAAGGAATAATGGCTAATAGTTATAGTTTTGGGAACAGTCATAGAGCTGTATGTACAGAGTACAGTACAATCCTTGTATCCGAGGGATGTATGTTCCTGAACTTGTGAAAACAAGAAACCATGGATAATTGCGAGCCCTATTGAAATGAGGGACTTCTCACAGAAGTTACCACACAATTATCCTGGAGGACCTGGAAAATTTCTAGAATTTTATTCTCTCTAGGAATCTGCTATATCCTCCAGGGCATCTCTATAGTAACTTCTAGCAGAAGCATACCATTGAATAGTCTGGAGGATGGAGAAAATCTCTAGAGATGATTCAGGTAGGTGAAACTGTGTGTATGGGTGTTATACTGTACTTCAAGTCCAAATCACTGTCTTTTCTAATCTTACATCCCCTCATTAGACTGCACTACAGCATAATGTATGTTGCCATCCAGTATATTGAAAGGGTGTCAGGTTAGAGAAAGCTGTTATACACAATACATCAGATTCTTCGTTATGCTTTGACTTTATTGGCAACATATTTCTCAGTTGCTTTTGCCTATGGAGAATAGCCTACATTTATCAAACTTTGCTTAATTTCTAAAAATGTTAGAGGGCAAAATTGGCAAGACGAACAGAAGAATATAATCCTAATATTAATAGTAATACTACTACTACTACTACTACTAATAATAATAATAATAATAATAATAATAATGAGGAGGATGAGGAGGAGGAGGAGGGTGTACCAGGAAAAGGAAATTTGCAATGGTAATTGAAATGGCTGGGGCAATTGTTATTTGAAAGATGTCTTAGGGCCCTTATACACAGCCCTATATCCCAGAAAATCAAGACAGAAAATCCCACATTATCTGAGTGTGGACTCAGATATCCCAGTTCAAAGCAGATATTGTGGGATTTTCTGCCTTGATATTCTGGGATATTGGGCTGTGTGGAAGGACCCCTAGAATCATGAGCTTTCAAGTTGTGAAGATATGTAACTTATGGTGGGAGGGCAATTTTTGAGACTTCTAAAGCCATATTGCCTTTTTCCCTGACTGGAAAAAATTTGATCGATTAAATACAGGACAACGATGAGTTGTGGTCTTGAGAAGCTTGGCTCCCCCTCAAAAGGCAAATTTCCTCTATAAAATGCATGGGACGATTTATTAACCCTAGGTTTCTTAGATACAGCTCCATGCAGAATTGTGTGGGCATGTGCCTTCAAGTTGCCCATTGATTTATGGCAATCCCATGAGAGTTTTCTTAGCAAGGAATATTCAGAGGTTTTTTTTTTTTTTTTTTGCTAATTCTTTCTTATGAAACACAGTCTGCAGCACCTGGTATTCATTGGTGGTCTTTACATGCTAATGCTAAACAGAACTGAGCCCACTTACCTTCCAGGATTGGTGCCTTGGTTTAAACTGTGTGGAAAACATGGGTATTTTACTCAGCAATACTATGCAAGCTAGATTCCTCCTGTAACATGCTAAAACAAGGGACCTTCCACACAGCCATATAACCCAGAATATCAAGGCAGAAAATCCCATAATATCTGCTTTGAAGTGGGTTATCCAAGTACTCACAGCCATACATTCCATTTCAAAGCAGATAATGTGAAATTTTATTTAGCTGCATGGAAGGGGTGTAAGACTGTAATTTCTGTTTCCATACAGGACTGACTTCATAAATGTAAACCTAAAATAAAATGAAATCCTATTTAAGCATGCCATAGCTTGCGTGTAGCCTTGCTTTGAGTAAATTAGCCATCTTTTTCACACACAGTGGATGGACTGCTGCCAGTTACAGACTGTTTCGCTTTGGTCATTGCCAAAGGAGATGACTTAGCCTCCTACTGTGGAAATCCTAGGGGATGGGACTCTACTAAAGATCTAAAAATGAGAGAGCAAAGTTCCTTCTGTAGCTATATTACTATGTACAAATAGGGCAGAAAATTTAATGTGGCACTTGCCATTCTTATAGCAATGGCCCAGATTAATTGTTAGAACCGAAGGCTGTTCAACAAGAGGAAATATGAACACAACATTCCATAAAACAACATCAATAAACTGTCACACACCATTGCTCAACACGGTTATAACAAGTATGACTGTTAACTTTATTGAATGGCCAGTTCCCTGGATAAATAAAGATTGGAAGCTACTAATATACATGCATTATTTCTTTGTAAGCAGTGATTTAAAGCTAGAAATTTAAAACCATCCCTTAGCTTGTATGCCAGGGCCCACAATTTTTGATGAGGTGTCACAGTCAACTGTTTTTCTTTACTAGCCAGTGAGACATGGATTTCTTGTTTCCTGCTCAACAAAGGCGGTATGTCTGGTGACTCATTTCCTCTCCATGCTGGTTGGGAACTTATACAGGTGGAAACCAGATTATTCCTTTGCTGCTTTTTTCTTCTGCCTGCCACATGTTTGTGCAACATCTCACAGAGGAAGTCCATATGCATAGGGTCAGATGCACATATACTTTCCATGCAATCAGGGTCTCCATTTGTGTAGCATTCCTGAGCATGTGGAGAATGTCCTTCTTATGTCCAGATGTGTTGACCTATGGAAGTAGGCATTGGACATAGTTGTAGTGGGTACAAGTCTCACTTCCACCTCCTTCATAGGGCCCTTCCACACAGCCGTATATCCCAGAATATCAAGGCAGAAAATCCCACATTATTTGAGTGTGGATTCAGATAACCCAGTTCAAAGCAGATACTGTGGTATTTTCTGCCTTAATATTCTGGGATATGGGGCTGCGTAGAAAGGCCCACAGAATCACAGAGTTGGAAGAGACCACAAAGGCCATCCAATCCAACCCCCTTCTGTGCAGGAACACATAAAGCAGTGGTTCTCAACCTGTGGGTCCCCAGATGTTTTGGCCTTCAATTCCCAGAAATCCTAACAGCTGGTAAACAGAGAAGGAGACTCCATCACATTCCTAGGGCCCTTCCACACAGCCATATAACCCAGAATATCAAGGCAGAAAAACCCACAATGTCTTCTTTGAACTGGGTTATCTGAGTCAAAACAGCCATATATTCCAGTTCAAAGAAAAAAAATGTAGGATTGTATTCAGCTGTGTAGAAGGGGCCCCAGGCAGTATATTCCACTGTCAAACAGCCCTGCCTGTCAGGAATTTCAACCTAATGTTTAGATAGAATCTCTTTTCCTGCAATATGAAAACATTGTTCTGCATCAGTCTCTAGAGCAGCGAAAAATCAATTTGCCCCCTCCTTAATATTTAAAGATGTCTTTCATGACTCTCCTTGCAACCTTCTTTTTCCCAAGCTAAACATGCCAACTCTCTAAACATTTTCTAATAGGGCTTGTCTTCCAGACCTTTGATCGTTTTGGCCACCCTTCTCAGTTCACATTCTGGCTTGTCAATATCCTCCAGTACAGAAATATATGATAAATGTAATACCATCCCTCCCAAATCACAGAATATATATGGATAGTTCCAAAATGCAGCTACTAAAATAAAATTTCTTTATGGATGCCTGTAATTTTGTCTCCAGTCACAGTTAGGAGCACACGTGATTTCATGGGCTTTATGCTCCAGGCTCGCAGAGTACTGAATGATCAAATTGCCGGCACTTTTGTGTACATTCCTCCCAGCTCCAAGCTACTGAACTGTTTTGAAGAAGGCGACACTGTCACCCATTCGGACAAGTCACTAAAAAGAAACTTATCCTTTGTGTGGAAAGCACCAGATCAGCCCATTGGAGACATCAGATTCTTGTAAGAAGGGTTTTTTTTTAATTGCTAATCACTTTTTTTGGAAAAGAAGTCTTTTAGTAGAGCAACCCAAGAAAGTTGTTTAGCTTTTTCTTTGCAGTATTCACTCTAAATGTCAGTATCTTTTGGATTCTTGACACAGAAATTGTAATTCTGAAAGTTTTTCCTTCTATTCACTGAGTACTCACTTGAAAATTTTAGCTGAGATGTCTAAGTTAAAATAGTGTCAAACTGCTATAGTTCTACAGTGCAGATGCATGGCTTGCTTAAAGTAACCACCAGAACCTCTTTTCCTTTTCATTTTATACAGAAACAGACTAACATTGCTATTTGTTTGAAAGTATTATCATCAACAACATTATTACGTCTGATTGATTTCCTTATATAAAACAGTTTAATTTGTTTTTGTATGTTTTGGCAGGAACACAGTTATGCAAACAAAAAAGAAAATTACAGGGATTGTACAATAGTGGGAAAGGTTTTTTTTATAAGTGATTGAATTCCCAGGTGCTAGCAATTGAATAAACTGTAAAAAAAATCAATCAATCAGCCAACTAAGTTGATAGAAATGTGTTTCAAGGAGGTATTTTCCAGCCACTAAATAGCATCCCCACAGTATAACAATCCAAATGCCTGATATTGAACAATTTTCTTCTCTTTTTTCTTATTTATTTATTATTTATTTATTTACGCTATTTGTATACCGCATTTATCAGCCGTGACCGGCGACTCAATGCGGTTTACAGTAAAAGTTGTGCACACTAACAATGTAAAGACAAACATACACAAACGACACACATATAGACATCAACGCCACCTTTCAGCATTGGAGTTGTGCTCTTGCATATTGAAGTTGGTTTGCTTAGAGATTTTGTTCAATCAGACAGAGTAGGAAATTTATTATTATAACAATTTATTTCAGAACTGTAAATATTAAGTAAGCATTTAGGGAAAACAAGCTACAGGTGTATCTACAATACAGTTGGATACCACTTTAACTGCTATGGTTCAATGCAGTAGTAGTTGTAGTTTTATAAGGTATTTAGCCTTCTCTGCCAAGGACATTATAATGTTTTAAGTGGCCAAGGATGAGATTTGGTTACTTTTACTTGCCTAATGTATATTTATTTATTTCATGTCAAAAGCATTGCATAGATAAGTATAAAACTGTTAAAAAGAGAAGGAACACAAGTGGTTAATTTTTTTTATATAAATAGCGACTGCATTGTCTGAAGTTTAAACAATTCTTCCTTTGTACATGAGACAAGGCATTGTGGACAAGCATACAGGTGCAGAGTTATTTGTTCTGCTCCACAGTCATACAAGATGGAGGATTCTTCTAGGTAGTGCCATTTTGCCAGGTTGTCTTTTGATCTGCCCACTCCACTTCTGTCCAGTCTGTTCAGGGACTTCCAAGCTGACCATTCTTGGTTGGTCCCGGGATGAAGACCCTGGGGGGGGGGGAGGGGCATCCAATTGGGATTTCTTGGTTTAGCTGCCCAGAGGGATGCTCGTGCTGTTGCTGGGAGAACATTAAGAGGAGTGGTGGTATTCATGAAGCTTTTCCTTTATTTGAGTCTACTGGGAGGAGGCTGATAGCCGTGCAGTGGGTGGCTTTCACAGTGTTCAACCTTATTTCTCTCACAGTTAGCAGCAACTTCCCGTCCGGGGGGGGGGGGGCAATGCCAGCCAGCTTATAGATATTATATAGGCAGGCATGTAGCTGGGGGGGGGGGGCTTGAGGGGCTTCAGCCCCCCCCCCCCCAAATTCTCATGGTAGTTCGCGAAAAGGCCTTACTGGTGCATTATTTAAACTGTTATGTTTATTCATATCATGATCTGATCACCATACTCAATATATCCCATATGCATGGGGGTATTGGGGTAATGATACAAAAGGTTTGCTAGGCTAGACCCTCTTTCACTCAGACTCAGCCCCCCCCCCCCCGAAAACTCAGCCCCCCCCCGAACCCCCCTGAAAAAAATTTACCCCCCCCTCCCGAAACGAAATCCTGGCTACGGGCCTGTCAACAGGTTTAGGTTTGAGACATCCTGAGATTATTCTGCATGTTTCATTCAGTGCTATGTCCACCTGCTTCATGTGAACAGACTTATGCCAAACAAGGTGGCCATACTCAGCAGTTGAGCAAGATAAGGCCAAGGCTGATGTGCTTATTAATTTTGCATCTGCTTCCCATGCACTGCCAGTAAGTTTCCATAGGTTGTTATTGCATGCAGCTACGTTGTGCTTTGTGTTAATGCAGTGTTTCCCAAATGTTAGTGTTCGATCTAAGGTGACCCTGAGATATTTAGGATAGAAACAGTGTTTGAGTTCTTGGCCTTCCTAGGTAACTTTCAATTTCCTGTTGGCTTCACGGTTCCATAGGTGGAAAGCACAAACTTGTGTCTTGGTAGGGTTATCTTTGTAGTAGCTGGAGAGATCTTTCAAGGCATTAGTAAGTTGATTTTTGACCCTTTCAAAGTCTTTTGCTTGTGTTGTTAGGCCAAGGTCATCAGCATATATAAAGCTCTTTGTGAGTGGTGGCTTGAAATGTATATAATCAGGAACAAAAATACTTGTTACAGCCAGGGTGGTGTAGTACTTTGAATGCTGGACTAGAATTGAAGGAGACTGTGGTTTCAGTTGAAACCTGCCAAGTGACATTGGGCATGTCACACCCTCTCAGCCTCAGAGAAAATCAAGGCAAACCTCTTCTGAATAAATCTTGCCAAGAAAAAGGTTTCCATAAGTCAGAGTCGACTTGAAAGCACATAATGACAATTGGTCTGTGCTTGATATGTCTTGAAGAGCTGCCTAGAATGAGAACAGGTGCTTGGAAATGGCTTTTGTTTTAAGAACCAGTATGATGTACTGTACTGAATATTGGATTTGGACTTTTACACCTCAAGTACTCTGACCCTCAGAAACCTGACCATGGATTTCCTAAGGACCAATGGATGATGGGATAAGATAACCTGAGGTCTAACATAATGAACAAGTGAAAATGGCATGATATGGGCAGTTGAAAATGTGGTACTTAATGCTTCTTCAGACAAATTATACATGCTTGTTCCCAATTATAATTAATTAATTAATTAATTATACATGCTTGTTCCCAATTAAAATTAGATGAAGATTAAGTTTTCTTAACTATGGTTTATAGTCCTTACGAAAGTTTTTTTTCCCCCAAATAGAACTGTGAAATGTAAAAAAATTAATTTTTAATAAGATGATTAAATTAAAAGAGCACACTCTCCAAATTGTGTTTTGTTTAGCTCCATTACCTTACTTATAGTCCTTTAGCTAAAGCTTCTGTTGTTTATTGGTTGTAATTTCAAAATAAAAAAAGTGTTATGGGCTAATCCTTTAATGTCCTTTGCACTCATTCTGTTTGTAGATTTTTAAAAATTCTCTTTGATTTAACCAAATGTTCTGATGATTTATTAATGGTACAGAATGACTAAACCTTTGCTTCATTTCCGTTTTTTAAAACAACAACAACAACAACAACACAGTTTATCAGTCGTCCAGTCATACTTTGTTTACTGGGCACGGATTGAATCTTCCACTGTGTCACAACAAACACAAAACAAAACCGCTACAGAAAATAGGGTAGCCTCTACTGCCGTAAAGCCCATGCCATCTCAGAAGCCTAGTGATCAAAAAACATCACTTACTGCAAGCAAAGGTAGGTCTTCATCCTCAATCTATCTATCCTCATTAGACATGTGTATACTGTAATAGAACTTGTAAAAATTGCTTTGATGGACCACAATCCCTAAAGTCCTACAGCCAGTTGGGCCAGTCTTTCACTTGAAGAAGGTAATCCAACAAGGTGATCATTGTCAATTCAATTCCAAATCCAAGTGTGAATTTAGATGGAAGGAGGTTAAATAATCATCCATAAGCTAGTGGTCTTGCTGGCTTAGAAATTCTGGAAGTTGTAACCCAAAAGGTAATGTTCCCAAGCTCTGTATGGCTATCTACATTATTTAATCTGACTTAAATTTTCAAGACTTCTACATAAGTCCTTAATAAATATCCTTAATAATGCTACCTTAGGATTCCATCCCCACTCTACTTTAGTGGGAATAGATTATAACATTACTAGATCAAGCCCTTATTAGTTTGGGATTGTCTTCAGCTTTGTCTTAAATTATATCCAGAATGTGAAATACATCACCCTGCAATGACATCTGGATATGCCAAATGTCATCATGTATGAAAGCAATATGAGTCCTCTTTTGGCTGTTGGGGCAGAACTGGGGCAGAATCATAAACCAGTTGCTGGATCTACTAATGGATTGGATGAGAGCCAATACCAATGAGACTGAATCCCGTTTAGCCTGAGGTGTTTTGAGTAAAACTGCACAATTTCCTACTTAGGACAGGAAATTCTAGATATTTCCTAGAAACATAATTGCTTAACATTAGTGTGTGTGTTGTAAAATAATTTGTTGTGTGGATTTCTTTGACTCATCCCACTGACCCCACAAATATCATTGTGTGACTGAAGTAGAATCAGAGAAGTTCTGCAGCATTACTGTTGCTCAGAGGAGATTCACCTTCCTCTAGATTTTTTTGGACTAACCCATTGGCCTCAGACAATGTGAAAATGCTGAGAATTGTAATCCCAACATCTATCTAATACATCCAGATCAATACTGGCTATCTTCAGCCTTCTCCCTTTGATGAAATAAGATATGATGCCACATTCCTAAAAGTGGGGGACCACTTTCCTCAGTACAATGGCATGATTTGAACATCATTACTATCATATTCTGGTTGTTTACAGAGGCATTGGGCTGTCTTAGGATTCTACTTTTTTGTCTGACCCAGTAAATTAGATATACTAATATATAACAGCTTACCTATCCGAATGTATCACCCCCTATGAACCATCTCAGAAGTTAAGATAGTCTGGGGAGGTCCTGCTTTGCAGGCACGACTGGTGGGGACGAGAGACAGGACCTTCTCAATGGTGGCACCTCGACTGTGGAACTCCCTCCCCAGTGACATTAGATCAATCCCCTCCCTCCTGATCTTCAGAAGGAAAATGAAAATGTGCCTCTGGGAACAAGCCTTTGGAGAATAATTGTAGTACAATGCCTACTGGAATGGCCCCAGATTATGTTTATGGATGACATGGTTTTAATATTGAATGTAATGTTTTTAAATGTTTTAATATGCATTCATTTCGATTTTTAATTTAAATGTTATTGTAAGTTGTTTTAAGTCATTGAATAGTTGTCTATGTGTAATGCCTCCTTGAGTCCCCTTCGGGGTTGAGAAAGATGGAGCATAAATAAGGTAAATAAATAAATATACAGTAACGGTTTGCACTAAGTAAGATTTAAGCAAAATATGTCTAACAATTTTTAAATATTCTTGGTGTTACATTTTTAACAATTGCCCTTTTCACTTCTAGAAAGTACTACACTTGACACTCAGGAGTCATCATTTACACCTAGCAGCCAAACGTGGGTTGCAGCAACATTGGTTTTGGATCCAGTTTACAGCAGACAACAAGTCTCTGAGCCCCTTGAAAATGGGAGGCTTCTATCTCAGTTCCTTGCAAACCTGGTCACTTCACAAGCTATCAGTCACAGCAGAAAAACACCAATGAATGGAAGTGACACAGATGGTGATCTCACACTGGAGTCATCACTTCAGTTCCGGGATCTCAGCTTCATTGCTCAAGATTATTCCTCCAGCCACAGCTCCTACAACGGGTACTGTGTTGTCATGGCATGTCATATTCTACATGCAATTCTTTCACAAGGATTTAGGAATATTGTATTTGCCAAACATGGCATGGTCCTATGAGATTCTGTATGCTTATATCTTGAAGTTTCTCTCTTATTCGCTGCTTGTGTTTTAAGTGTATACATATTTCATGTGCATTGTACTGTGCGTGTTATACTCGTAGAACTCAGCAAGACTTAACTTGCTGAGTATAGGGATGTGTTGTCAGTTTTAATACCAAAGTAATTGTTGTGCAACGCCTTCAAATATCTATGGCTCCTTCCACACAGCTGAAGATAATTCCACATTTTCTGCTTTGAACTGGAATATATGGCAGTGTGGACTCAGATAACCCAATTCAAAACAGATATTGTGGGATTGTCTGCCTTGATATTCTGGGTGATATGGCTGTGTGGAAGGTGATACTGGAATGATACTGTCCAAACAAAGGGCTGCAAAAGTTGGTGTAGGGATCATGTGCCTTTCAGTTGTTGACCTATAAATCCTAGCAAGCTTAGCCAGTGATGGTGAATGCTGGAAGCAACAATAAAACAATCTGGAGGTCTGCAGTTTACTGAGGGCCCTCCCACACAGCCATATAACCCAGAATATCAAGGCAAGAAATCCCACTATATAGACTTTGAACTGGAATACATGGCAGTGTGGACTCAATCCAGCTCAAAGTTGATATTGTGGAATTTCCTACCTTGATATTCTGGGTTAGATGGCTGTGTGAAAGGGCCCTGAGCTAGTCATCCACTTCCATGAGCTTTATTTCCATTTTTTGCGCATCATGCATCTCAACAGCAGGTGTGAAGTCTTAGTTCTGCCTTTTCCTCTCCTCTGCATCAGTTTCCCCTGTTTTTAGGTTTTCCCAATAGTGTAGATACTTCCTTTGTATTAGTAGAGCATAAACTCCCCAAGAGGCCAGTGTTAGTTGGTCTAGTCCATTTTCCTGTATAGAGCTCCTTTGCTGGACTCCTTTTTTTTTTTTTTTTGCAGCAGAGATACAGAGAATAGAGGTTTGGGAATTGTCTGGTAATCCTAGGCCAAATCAATCCAAAAAACAGGCATCCTTAGCACTTGCATTCAGCAGTATTCTTATACCAGCAGTCCCAGTGACAACAGAAGCTTTTGACCAGCTTAAGCTTCACAAGAAAGAGGACTGATACAGCTTATAAGCAACAGCTTGTAAATCATCGCTTTGCACCAGAGGCAGAAGACACCAGGGAGATGACTGCAGTCAACAAAGGCTCCTTTTGTAATGTACTGTTTTAAGCTATCTTATCATAGTCCTGGGTGGAGCTACCCTTAATTCATCTTGTTTTCAGTAAACTCATTTTGATTATCTTTTCACCTTGTCTAAAGTGCCTCTGTGTGTTAAGGGTCTCAATCTTAACAGAAGGTATACAGGTAGCCCCCGAATAAAGCCAGACACTATAGTTTTTCCCAAAGGCTTGGACGTGCCATCACAGCAGGTGCCTCCAGAGCTCAGCACATCCAACGAATTCCAATGGCTTTCAAGTGTCTATCACATCTGATGCTGAGGGTGGTGTCTTTTTTATTTGAGATTTGGGCTGGAGTAAGAATGTCCTCTATTCAGTCTGCAGACTATAGCTCTCCCACTGTCCCCTATATCTGATATTCAATTGCTAATTGCATTGCATGTAATTACTGTAGATCCTAAACAAGAAATAAGGTGTGTTCCATGCCTGTGACTTGTAAAAGTGCACTTCAGATATAACAATACTCATGTTCGGCTTGACCAATACTTGTTTAGGTGTTATGAAAAGCTGCTTGCTGAGTAGCAGTGTTTTTGAGAATGAATCAAGATCCTTTTTTAAAAAAAAAAAAAAGCTGTGAATACATTATATTTATAAAGATGTGTGGGTGAGCTGTGAAGGCCTGTTCACTCATTGATTCATAGAGGTGTCAAAATGGTGACTGAAAGAACAGAGTGTTAGCACCAAGGAGACATCTTGATTATTGCAAAAATCTGTGCATTTGTCCTCAAAATGGTTTGATATTTTCAAATACTACTTGATAGTTAAAGAACTTTTACATCAATCAAAACTTGAAATTTTACAAAAGCTTAGCCAGGATATAGGAACCTCTGGTAGCATAGCGGGTCAAACTGCTGAGCTGCTGAACTTGCTGACCAAAAGGTCAGCGGTTTGAATCCAGGGAGTGGGGTGAGTTCCCGCTGTTAGCCCCAGCTTATGCCAATCCAACAGTTTGAAAACATGCAAATATGAATAGATCACTAAGTACTGCTCCGGTGAAAAGGTCGTGTGGCAGTCATGCCAGCCACACGACCTTGGAAGTTTCTACAGACAACGCCAGCTCTTCGGCTTAGAAATCGAGATTGGCACCACCCACTTCGGACATGACTAGATTTAATGCCGTGGGGAAACCTTTACCTTTTTTTTAGCCAGGATATCTGATAAATAGAAAAGAATGATATCTTACCAATTGCAAAATATAGCAACAAGGAATAAAAAGCGTTTTCCCTTCCATGTCAGTCCAAATATTAAAAACATGTATTTAAATAACCAGAACTGACTTTCGATAGTATGTTACCTGAGGTCCCATCTACACTGCCATATAATGCAGTTTTAAACTGCATTACATGGTCAGTGTAGATTGTAGACTCCTATAATGCAGTTCAATTCAGTTAAACTTATAAGAATCTATACTGACCATGTAATGCACTTTGAAACTGCATTATATGGCAACGTTGATGGGGTCGGAGTCACAACAGCAAATGATGCTGCCATACATCAAATTCAACGCATGTAATAGTCAAAACCAGCCAAATTATTCTGGCACATGAGTCAGAAAATCCTACAAGTATCTTTCCATCATCAATAAAACTCATATAACTATAGCTTAACTAACAATCTGTTATCCTTTTATGACACTCAAAATCTGCTCTTTCTGCTTGAGATCTAACCCAAAATTATTATCAAAAGACTGTAAGAAATAAGTTTTTGCCCTTGTCACAATTCAAGGCATGAAGCTGGCTTCAGCAGAAGGCAAGATGCAATGGTGAACAAGTGCAAAAATGTACACACAGGATTGATATGCAATGGCAACCTTCTTTCCTCCTTCACTTGAATACACCTTGTAGGGATTTCTAGTGGCAATTAGGAATGAGCATGTTGAATGCAGACTGAATGAATTTATATGGTGAAGTGTTAATTTATGCTTTTCTCCCCAATGTTTTAGGACTGAAAATATTTCAACTGTTCCTGTGTCACTACTGTGCTTGACATGTAAGGAAGGCATGGAGGTAAGCACTGGAGGATCATGTTTGGTTTTGCAGCATTCAGCAACTTCTTGCCAACTCCATGATGCATTTTGGCTCATGCAAAGAATCTGATCCAAAAGAAATATTTATTTATGTTGGAGTATTTTGGATTCTGGAATTTCAGATAAGGAATATTCAATCTTTACTATACTATGCTCTAATCTCATAATGCTTTGCCTATTTCCAGGCATAATAAGAACAGCTACAGTGACCCAATACACAGGATCATTTTATGCCACACAATGAACTGTCTGGGGTTTTTAGTTTGGTGAGGCACTAGAGCTCCCTGGATGAGCACTTTAAATAACTTTTCCAAAACTACAAATTTTAGGGTTCGTTAGGATGGAACCACAAGAATTAAAGCTGAATCATAGAGATCTTGTATACTCTGTTGCCGAAGGCTTTCATGGCTGAAATCACTGGGTTGTTGTGAGTTTTCCAGGCTGTATGGCCATGTTCCAGAAGCATTCTCTCCAGATGTTTTGCCCACATCTATGGCAGGCATCCTCAGAGGTTGTGAGGTATATTGGAAACTGGGCAAGTGGGGTTTATATATCTGTGGAATGTCCAGGGTGGGAGAAAGAACTCTTGTCTGCTTGAGGCAAGTGTGAATGTTGCAACTGACCACCTTAATTAGTATTGAATTGCCTTGCAATTTCAAAGCCTCCCTCCTTCTTGCCGGTGAATCTTTTGATAGGAGGTGTTAGCTGGCCCTGTTTGTTTCATGTCTGGAATTCCCCTGTTTTTTTTTTTAGTACTGTTCTTTATTTACTGTCCCGATTTTAGAGTTTTTTAAATATTGGTAGCCAGATTTTGTTCATTTTCATGGTTTCCTCCTTTCTGTTGAAATTGTTTACATGCTGCAAGGCCATTCAGTGCTAATCAATGTGTCCAATTGCAACATTCACATTTGCTTCGAGCAGACAACAGTTCTTTCTCCCACCCTGGATATTTCACAGATATATAAACCTCACTTGCCTAGTTTCCAACAGACCTCACAACCTCTGAGGATGCCTGCCATAGATGTGGAAGAAATGTCAGGAGAGAATGCTTCTGGAACATGGCTATATAGCCCAGAAAGCTCACAGCAACCCATCTTGTATACTGTCAGAACTGCACATTATTTGGGGTTCGGAGAACAATCGTATTTATAATGCTGAGTAAGGACCTCATCATACTAGAGCATGGGTCCACTTAAAATTCAGTTTCTGCCTCCGGCAGAAATCTGGGGCTTGTAGTTTAGGGAGGGATCATTAAACTGCTCAACCAAGAGGTCCTGAGACTCACTTAACTACAAACCCCATAATTCTGCAGGAGCCAGAAACCAGATTTAAAGTGGATCCATGCTCTAGTGCAGTGGTTCCCAACCTTTTTTTTGACCAGGGACTACTTTGACCAGAGACCATTCTCCAACCAAAAGAATTACAAATCAGTTTTTGGTCAATTTTAGATTCTGTTTGGTTATTTGGGGTGCTGACTCAGAAAACTGCATTGGATAGACCACATCAGCTCTAGTTTCTGATACAGAACATATGTCTCTAGTAGTCGCCATCTGTTCACCCACAGAAAACCATATTTAATAATCTAGAACTGATGTGTAATTTTCTGAATCAGCATCCCAAATGACCCCAGGAACAGGCCTAAAAACGAAGACATCAAAAAAATTGTTTTGATTGGGCTGTGTTATTATCCATAGTGAGGCCATAGACCATATTTTAGTTTGTGCTGACCACTGGAAGTCCATGGAATACAGGCTGGGAACCACTGCTCTAGTGTGATGAAGCTGGTAAGACATTGAAGTCATCTCAAGAGAAACTTCACTGTGCACAGAGAAAGGCTATGTGAGCAGAAGACTGTAGGATTCTTGTTAATAGGTTGGATAGGTAGAAAACTGATTTTCACAGCTGATTTTAAGTTTTAAGTACAACATCAGTGTAGGATTTGGTTTTACCTCCCACCGCTCCCAATGCCGAAATAGATGTATTCACAAATCCTATTATATAAAATGTTATAGTAAAATAGTGTCTCCTATATAAAATTGAGATTTGCTATTTTATTTTTTAATCAGTATTTTCAAGACATGGGTAGATAAATCTGTGGATACAGAATCTGTTAATTTTTAGAGTCAGCTGTAGCAATTTGATTTGCTTAAGTATATTGAGGCATGAATGCTGTTCTCATTTATTCCAGTTAGAGGGCAGTAGATGCTTTGAAATTGTACAGAAGTTTAAACATTGTAAAGATTTTACAATGCTTTAGTATGTGGACACTTAAAGGTTTGTTGGGTTTCCATTGTACATGTGTTTTTTCCCCAGAAATATTTTCTAGAAAAGCAAATGCTGTTTAGTATTTTTCATTAACAAGGCTGTCTCAAGATACATTTTCTATAAACTGTATGCATGTGAGCTGGATTATCAACTGGGTTATACTATGTAGTAGTGAGGAGATAGCCGAGTGCAGTGTGATGGCCAAAACCAGCCTTGTGGCACACATCTTTCAATAAAGGGGAATTATTAGAGGAAAGGGAATAGTCTGGTGATTACTGCTGCCTCTGAGCATTACTAACTTAAACACTTGACCCATCATCCTAAGAGTAGAGTTAGAGCCTCTACATCAACCCCTGGCAGTTTACTTGCTGCTAAAACCATTACTTGCTTTCTTTTGCCAAATCATAGAGTTGGAAGAGACCATATGGGTAATCTAGTCCAACCCGGGTTGTGGCACGTGGACCGGGTTGTGGCGCAGCTGGTTGGGAGTCAGCTGCATTAAAATCACTACTGACCAAAAGGTTATGAGTTTGAAGTCAGCCCATGTCAAAGTAAGCTCCCGACCATTGCCTAGCTTGCTGACGACCTTTGCAGCTCGAAAGACAGTTGCATCTGTCAAATAGGAAATTTAGGTACCGCTTACGTGGGGAGGCTAATTTAACTAATTTAAGATGCCATAAAGCTCTGCAGAAGTGTGCAATAGAATGAGGAAGTACTCCATTGGTGTCACAAGTGGACGGTGAAACGACAGCTCCCCTGGTGGCTGGGATTCAAAGCATACCCTCATGAAGTTGGAAAGTTAAATAGCTCCTGTGTGTCTGTCTATATATGTTGTGTGTCTATTGCATTGAATGTTTGCCATGTATATGTGCATTGTGATCTGCACAGAGTCCCCTGCGGAGTGAGAAGGGCGGAATATAAATACTGTAAATAAATAAAGTAAAAAATAAACCCCCTGCCATGCAGGAAAATCATAATCAAAGTATCCCTGACAGATTGCCACCTAGCCTCTATTTTTAAATGTCCAAGGAAGGAGCTTCCACCACAATCTGAGGCAGAGAGTTCCGCTGTTGAACAGCTCATATGGTCAGGAAGTTCTTCCTAATCAAAGGAGTGGAATCTCCTTTCCTGTAAATTGAACTTGTTGCTCTTTTCCCTCTTCCTTATGACATCATTTCACATATTATACATGATTATCATATCTCCTCTCAACCTTCTCTTCTACAGGCTAAATCAAAACATGATTTTGACATCTAATTAACTTTTCAGTGGACGATGCACATGGTTTTAATCATTGTAACATGTTAAGTGTTTTTAAACCTGTTTATTGTTCAAATTTGGATCCCCCCCATATGCGTATATATATATATATATATATATATATATATATATATATATATATATATATATATATATATATATATATATATATATATATATATATATATATATATAGTTTTACTGCCACATTGTTTTTAGATCTTATGAGATAGGGCAAAATATAAATATTTAAACAAGCAAGCAAACACACAGTATGAACATGTTGTTGTTGTTGTTGTTGTTGTTGTTGTTGTGTGCTTTTAAGTTTTTTCAGACTTATGATGACCCTAAAATGGCTAAATATCCTAAAGGCATCAGATCCTATCTATATTGCAAACAGAGTCAACCCCACTTAGTACTTGGATAGGAGACTGCCAAAAAAATATCAGGTGTGGTAGGCTATATTTCAGAGGAAGGAACTGGCAAAACAATCTCTGAGCAGTCATTAAATAAGAAAACCCCATGAAATTCATAGTGTTACCATAAATTGACAGAGGACTTGAAGGATCACACGTACACACAAGGTGAACCTATTGTGGTGTTTCTTCCTCTGAGAGTGAGAGAGTGCCCCTCTGTACGAATTAGCTAAAAACAGTTCTAGCAGAGGGAAATTAAAATTCTTATTCTGCTGAGCAATAGCCAGAACTCTGGGCATCTCTTTCTACGTATTAGCAATGTTCTCAGTAGCAGTGGCTGACAGCTGCTACAACTATCATTTACAGTGTTTTGGGCTTGTGATATTGAACCTGCCCAGAGGATTTTCAGTTAACATGGGAGACATAAAAAGTATAAGGGAAAGGATATCTATTGTCATGAATAGTGAGTGTAGATGGTTAGGTGACAATAAAGCTTGGAAAAATTACATTTTTGAACTACAACTCCCAACTATTGTGATCACTGCATGGAGCTTGGCTGTCTGAGGCCCCAAAACATCTACTGGATGCTGCCAATGGCATGAAGTAATTTTGCTCTTCTATATTTGTATTATTTCATATTCTGAATATCAGACCCAACATAACTGATAAATTCCACCATGATGATCTACAATAAAATTTCCCAACGTTTTGGGACATGTTAGTGCTGAATTTTGGAATGTAAGTAGGAGTTTGAAGGCAAAAGCCAATTAAAGATAATGTGCAAATCTTTCCAAGGATTGCATTTGGAATGGCTTATTTAACCATTACATTCATTGCATAGACCAATATGTACCCAGTGAATTTCTTGACAGAATGAGGACTTGAACCTGATTTACTCCAGCTTCACAGTCTATCCAATGCATCACACTGGAGCTTTAATTTTGGTCTCAATCGAAGATATCAAAGCAGGATAGGTAAAGATTTCTCCTGACATTAAGTTTAGTCGAGTCTGACTTGGGGGTGGTGCTCATCTCCACTCCTAAGCTGAAGAGCTGGTGTTGTCCGTAGACACCTCTAAGGTTATGTGTCCGGCATGACTGCACGGAGTACTGTTACCTTCCCGCAGAAGTGCTACCTATTGATCTACTCACAATTGCATGTTTTTGAACTGCTAGGTTGGCAGAAGCTGGGGCAAACAGCGGGAGCTCACTTGGCTCCCCGGATTCAAACTGCCAACCTTTTGGTCAACAAGTTCAGCTCAGTTGTTTAACCCTCTGTGCCACCGGGGGGCCTTACATATATAATAATATAATAATAATAATTGCATTTTCTTATACCTAACAGCATTAGGGAATGCTTTCCACATGGAAAACCTAGATAGCCCTTATTCAGGGCAGCTGTTTTGACCATATAACAAGAAACAAAAACCAGTTTATCTGCCTTTACTGGACCAACCAAAAGAGGCAAAATATATCATATACCTGTTTTTGAAGCTTCACAGCTTTTGGGAGAAGCAAAAGATAGATGGTGAAAAGCACAAGAAGAGTATGAAATAATTGTGGACTTAGTGCTTACATTTATGTTATGATGGTATAGAAAGTGTATTGGCTGAGCTTAAGCAAGCAAGGAAAACTGAAATCTTCTACTGTATATCTCTTCCCATGGAGTCTGATACTTGGCTAGTAAGGGCACAAAATGCAGACACAGTATAACATTACTTTTATGAGCTAAGTTTTCTTACTTAAATGTCAATTCCTTGTGCTTTTCTTTTGTTACTCAACTGGTAGCCAAAGAAAATTAATTATCTTTTGCTTTTACCTCCAATTCATCCAGTATTGCTCTGTGACTTTACTTTCAGTACTTACTTACTTACTTAAGTAATCACTCGTCTGAGTAAGATTGCTCTCCAAGTGTGGTGTCCTGGTGGTGGGTCCATAAGTGTGGAGTCCTATTCTTGACCCGCATGTTCTCCCGCAGTGAGGGCATTGGTTTCCACATGGAAGGCAGTCCCGGTCGGGGTTAACTTGATGAGCCTTCCTCTTGGCTCTTTACATTCAGTAGCTCTCAAGGAATAGAATACAGTTTTGATGAAAAAGTTGCCTGATGGGAAAAGCAAGACATTCCATCAAGTTAATAAGTTCCATTCTCATTACTCTGGATAGCTTTTGACCTGTTATGTTCAATGAAAGGACAGTTGTAATTCTCAAGCAAAATATGGTTTCTGTTCTCAATATGCACTTAATCTTTTTATTTTTAAGGTGCCTTCTGAACAAACTGAGACAAGTATAAGTACGTCTACTCCACTCATTACAGCTTCTGTGTTGGTCCAACTTGTGGATTCTCCAATGCTTGCAGACATGGGGAAGATACCAGGGGATTTGTCTATTGAAGAGGATTTAGATGTCTACCAAAGTTTATCAACTGCTCTGATGCAAATGGCAGAGAAGCAACCAATGACAGAAAACGCATCAGCAAAATTCCTGCCTCATGCAGAAGTCACAACCTCTCCGCAGGAGGAAAAGGGCAAAAGGGATATTTCTAGGAACCCTCTCCTGAAGGTAACAAGAAAGGCCAAAGCTACTGTTTCAAGAGGAGGAGGGCGAGAGAAAGAGCCACAGCTGGTAGCTGCTCAACTGGGTGTTCTCCTCGGATGTTCTGCTGTCCTTGGCATGGTGCTGGCTATCACTTTACGCTGCATCCATTCCCAGTATTGTCACAAGCGTACTGAAGTCTCCTTTAGTGAGCCAGACAGCAATGTCATTGCACTTCAAGAGAATGGGGAGATGATGCATTTCAGAAAGATACGAGAAAACAGCTTTGTCTTGGTACAGGCAGAGTACAACTGGATCAGTCCATCAGGCAGTGGGAAAAAAGGTGCTATCTAGTTTTTAGAGAATCTGCCATCTTCACTGTCACCTGCACTTAAAGCTGTGGTAAAAATTAGTAAGAACATAGGAGACAAAGATAGTTGCATATAACCATGTAAGCAAAAATCCTCAATGCATGTATGTTTTGGTTACAGTACAGATGCATCTTAACTACTCTACAGATGTTTTGAAATGTAGATGTTCTTAGTTTCAGAAATCATGGAAATATGCATAGGCATTTTGTTAAAAGTGTTATCCATCCTTAGTGCAATTAATATTGCATACCTGCTCATTAAATGGGGTTGTTGTAGCCATTACATTTCCTTTGTTGCCTTAAGGTGCCATCAGAAATAGAAATCCTTCTTCTGCAGTTATGTCACCTCCTATTTAGTCTCAGTGAAAAAAAGTTTCTGCTTCTCCTGTTCTTCTTTTTCAGGCAAACAGAAGCTCTCACCCTACTTCTCACTTAGGTTGTGATGCCTTTGGTTTGGTGTGTGATATTTCTCAAATCGGTCAAATGTTTGCCACTTGAGCTAACTTTTCTCTTTGACAAAGCAGAATAGAACAACATTGGCAAGATTTTTTTTAAAAAAATTGATCCATAGGATGCAAACACTGGCTGACTGTATTGTGAATTGATCTGTAGGAAGGAAACAAAGACACAGCAAGTGCCACCTTTGGGGAGAGGACATGGCTCCTCATCAGGTGTAAATGGAGAGAAAGCTTCTCTAGCCATTTGCACCTTGATAAGTTGGCTTGTTTGATCCTCACAGCCAGCATTTGTTTTGTTTTGTTTTGTTTTTACTTTGGGTCACTTCGATACAGCTATTGGAAGGAAAGAAATGTTTATTGAAAAGCAGAGGGACCTAAGCTCAGTTTGATAAAGGCCAGAAGTGGCCCTGTCACAACTTTTGCAGCATTTTAGCACTCTGCAATGTCACAAGGAAACTTTCTTCTCCTGATTCAAGTTGTGGCCATGTTAAAGAAAGCTAGTTCAATGGCCTTTACTCAGTATGACATAATATTAAAAAAAATCTAGTTTGTTTATGGTAGATTGTTTACCTTTATGCTTTGAATAAGCTCTATATATGGAGCCCCCAGTGGTGCAGCAGGTTAAACCGCTGAGCTGTAGAACTTGCTGACCAAAAGGTCGGTGGTTCAAATTCGGGGAGCGGGGTGAGTTCCCACTGTTAGCCCCTGCTCCTACCAAGATGCAGTTCAAAAATATGCAAATGTGAGTATATCACAGCTACCACTTTGGCGGGAATGTACCAGCGCTCCATGCAGTCATGCCAGACACATGACCTTGGAGGTGTCTATGGACAATGCCGGCTCTTCAGCTTAGAAATGGAGATGAGAACCATCCTGAGTTGGACATGACTAAATTTAAAATGTCAAGGGGAAACCTTTACTTTACCTATGTTAATAGCAAACATGATTTTTCTGGTCTTTAGGTTGGTAAAATGAAACTATTAACACTTAAAGGGGGAAATGTTAATACATTTGGAGGAATCCAGATACTAAAAGAAAGGGCCTAAATGCCCTAAAGGGACCACATTGCATCTGATCTTAGAGTCTGCACAGGTTCATCTCAGTGTTTAGTACTTTGATGGGAAGCCACCAATGAATACCAGGTGCTATAAGCTATATGTCAAAGGAAAAATTGGCAAATCCATCTCCGAGTATTCCTTTTCTAAGGAAACCTTGTGGAATTGATGGGATTGTCATAAATTAACAGGTGACTTCATTGCATATACAACATATGCAGGGGATCATACAATTGGAAAAGACCACAAGAACTATCAAGCGCAAACCCCTGCAAACAGGAATACACAATCAAAGCACTGACTTTTTAAACTGCCTCACTGTTGACTCATGTTTAGTTTATGGTCTACTAAGACTTCTAGATCCCTTTCACATATACTTGATAATAACTTCCATTAACTCACTTCCTAATCAAACAAAATGTCATTCTACCTCATCACACAAGAAGTTAGCATCCCAGCACACTGCCAAGACACCTCCTCAGAGCCTGCCGGATGCCATCACATGACATATGGCAATTTCCTTCGGGGCTCTGGGGAGGAAGCATCCTGACAGCGTGGCAGAACGTTCCCCTGGAACACAGGAGGACAAAGGATAAGGAAAAATGAGGGGTGGGTCTTAGTCCCCTTCCATACAGCTTAATTAAAATCCCACATTTTCTGCTTTAAGCTGGGATATATGGCAATGTGGACTCAGATAACCCAGTTCAAAGCAGATATTGTGGGATTTTCTGCCTTGATATTCTGGGATATATGGCTGTGTGGAAGGGCCCTGAGTGGGCAGAAAACACTTCTTGGTTAGAGGCTTTGTTAAAAGGGTTATGCCTGTATACTTAAATAAGTCTTGTCTGATCCCTCAAATCCTGATAGAAACTTGATTCACCTACACTCCTATTACATATCACCATACAGCTGATGACAACCACCTAATATTGTCACAATCGTGAATATGGAACACGTAGCTAGATTTACTATAATCATTCTGTATTCACAACCATAACCATTCTGCATTCACAATCATGACTTACTGAAGCAAGGTTCCATTGAAGTGTTACAACACAGACTACAGTTATCATGCTACTTTCTCCACAGTCTTAACTTACTAACTTATTCACCTTTCAATCTCCATATGTTACACCCGTAAGAGCAAATCTTTTAATCCAAATGACGTAAGACTATATTGAGAATTTAAATTCAAAGTCTGTGATACAGCATCTTGCCTAGATTGTTTTTAGGAACATAAATATAGTGTTTGGTCTCTATAAGGGATTCACCTTAGAGGGAAATGGACAAATAAATCAGCAATATTTGAGAACACATTTTCTTTGGAAGCCAACTATTACAAAACCTTGCATAGAAAACAATTAATAAACTGCTAGTAGTATTGTGAAGGACAAGTAAGTGCAAAGCTTATAAAAAGAAAGGACTGAAGCAAACGCAAATTTGGTGGGATAATCTAGATTTGATTCTTGATGCATAGAAAAAGTGATGGTTTCAGCTATCAATCTATCATCTATATCTACCTATCTATCTTTTTTAATGCTTGGCAAAGTAGAAGGAAACATGGTTTCAATTGAGCTTTTCTCCTCTAGGTTCATAGAAAAAAATAAAAACTTTGTGTAACCCACAATAGTTTTGTTGCTTAATTTTAAAAGCTGCCTATATTCAATGCATTGTTAATGCAATCCTTAATTAACTGAGAAAATAGGTCAACAAGCTGGTAAATATTTAAACAACTATCACATTTCATTTAAAAAGTTTGCTATGATGGCTTCGCAGTTTATGAATAAATTACTAATTCTTATGTCCTCCTGCACTATTTCTCTGTCTGTCTGTGTTTAATAATACCAGATTGTTATCACTTGGGATTCTTTTTTCTCTTTTAAAAAAAGAAGCCATCAGCATTGCTTGTTCCAATCTTAAATAGAGAAGGAAAGACATGGAACCTGATCAGGCTGGTTCTCTTATAGTTTGCTCAGGCGTGTCATGTAACACCCATATTGTGCAAATCTAGGCATCTCTGAAGAATCTTCAATGACCTAGGAGTTTAGCAAAGAGGGGGCAAAACTGCAATTAATGCTTGCCCATCTGAAAAAAGTCTGTTTCCCAATTTTTCATGGAGCTACACACTCACCAACAGACTATCTTCTTGCTCTTTGTTTTGTGAGCTTAACTTTGTGTTTAGATGGGTTTTACAAAAAATAACAAGGCAGCTGTTTTCTGCACAAAATAACATACCTCCTCTAAAAGGAGTAGATGCTTCCAAGGGTTGGAATTTTGGGACTGGACTAAGATCCTGCTTCCTTTCAAGGTACCATCGGCATACATCTGGTGCAGCAATCGTGAAATTTAGCAAGTGTCCATCTGATTGGTATCTGGGAGATTTTATGTATGTTCCTTTGAAGACTTAATGGTAGAAAGCTAGACTATCAAGGTAATAAAATACAGAGGCTCACGGAAAACTCTATATTCATGAGAGTAATTGCACTGTCAGGAGACAAAATGGGCCATTCAGATGGCGTGCCAGGTACATGTTTGGAGATGCAGAAACCTTTCTTTAAAACCAATTCAGTACTTAAAATATGTATATTGCATCGTTTATTGTGGAGTTTAAGGTTTTATATACCTTCTGAGGCAAGGTACAAAAAACACTGCAGGAAACTTTCAAATCAAAGATACAATTAGAACCTGAAGCATTTTTTATTGGGAATGCCAAATAACAAGCAAAATCACTAAACTAGAAAGTAGAATACTACGTGATAGATGCAGCATGGATGGAGCCACTCACTACCAACAGTTTAAGCAGACTAAAACACATTAAAGCAAGTTGAGACAACCTAAACGCCTGCAACAATTAACACCCATGTACATGTACATTTAAAAATAAATTAATTCCCAAAGGATTTAATAAAGCCTTCCTGACTTGGCACAGGAATTAAACCATCATTGGCACCAATTTCAGCTCATGAAAACCCACTGGTGGACTTTAGTAAATTTCTGGATTTTAGCCTTAGAGGAAAGCAACAGCATAACACCTCTGAATAAATATGGCCAAGAAAACAGGGTTGCTTTAAGTCAGAGTCAACTTGACAGCACAAATAGCAAACAATTCCAGACCGGGCTTTGCAAAAGTTGGTGTGTAGGTTATTCTTGGCAGTCCCCTGAATAGCAAGTAATTTTCCTTCTAATGGATGGTTTTAAAGATAACTAAAATTCAATAGTGGGAGGTTTTAATTCTAAGGAATAGTTTCGATATAACACCAGAAGCTGGGCTATGTAGGCATTGGTTTATTTTGGTTTCACTAGAACTAGTGAGGCAGTAACAAATTTTGAAGCACAAATGACTATCACGATAGTATGATCCAAGCACAGTCTAATAACAATCTATTTGCATGGCTGTCACAAAAAAGTGAGCTGGTAAAGGATGTTGTAGCCTGGCAAGCATTCGATGACATTTTTGAGTGCTCAGAGGATGTGGAAGGGGATGATGGGTTGCTATTTGTAATTTCCAAGGAGTCTATGGAAGATAGCAGGGGCCTGGAGAAAGATGTTTTGGAATCTCCAGCTCGTTCCCAGGCAATGTGTGAAAGTGATGTCAGTTCCCATGAGAATAGGCCAGACGGGCCTTCGGAGAAGAATGTGGAAAACAAAGGTTTTTCCAGGTCAAGCTGCCTTGAAATTAGGAGGCAAAATGTAAAACAAAGACAAACTTGTTTTTTTCAGAGGCTTAGAGATAAGGAGAGAAAAAGCAGGTGTGTGCAAAGTGATGTCAT